CTACAGGAAATATAAAACTGTAAAGCCTATTAGTTTACCAGTGAGCTTACCAAGTCATAGATGAGCCATGCAGATGGGGAAAGCCCTGGTTTGGCTCAGTCAGTGCTGAGTTGACTGATGCCACAAGAAGGACAGGAAGAAGCGCTCGCAACTTCAGCCCCAACCCTCCACCTCTAATTGTCAGCTGGGTAGCTGGACTGACACCATATACAGTCTTTGGGGAAGCAGAGGATTGGGGCCATCGGGGAACGAGAAGTTTGACTGACAGTGTGGAGCAGGAGCTGACTAATATGTGATGTCCCCCTGGGTGAGGTAGTGGAGAACAAGACACTCTGAAGTTCTACTACAATGGAATAGGAAAATGTGTCTGAGCTCTTGAGGAGAGATCTTTAGAAGGGAAGTGAAACAATGAACTGTCAACATCAACATGGACGGAGGACGGAGAATAGGCCCACAGGAATAGCTGGAGATGGACTAACATGGCAAAGATGAAACTCAAGACAATCTTTGAAATATTAAAGTGTTTGGTGATTGATTCTCTCAGTGTTGGGAAAGTGACTAAACTTAATTTGCGAGAGCTTGAGAATCTGTATTGTCGGTTTGATATCCCTTCAAAAGTAAATGGACAATTAGAGAACCAGTGAGTTACAAGCAGGGGTATAAAAAGGATTTGTGGGTTTATGGTTGGAGAAGTGGATTGGTGGGAGCTGAGAATAAAATGTTGTGGATTGAGAATCATTACATTGTTGATTAAGTCAAAAAATTATACAAATAGCGGATAACATGAACACAGTAAATGCAATATGTCTCATTTACTCCAGGGACTGTTCTCGACGATATCTCCTCTCAGGTCAGATGTATCCCTCGCAGTCATTGCCCCTGTGTTCTCAACGGGGAAACCTTTGCAGCTGGAGAAGATAAGGAACTGCCATGCAGTAAATGGTAAAAAAAAAAGCTCAGTCACAAGGCTTTGTGACAAAGACTGCGCAAATATTCTCAGATTGCAGGGGTCTGGGGCTAAAACAGGGCCTGGAAGCTGCTGGTTGAACAGTTTCACCCAAGTGCCTGATGGGAATGGAAATGACATCTGTTTCCAACGGTATAAGATTGAATCCCACATCTGTTATTAAATGACCAATCTTTCAGCTCATTCACTGCAAGAGAGGTTTATCCAGAGGAAACTACACATTGCTTCCCAATACACCATCACTCTCTCTGTCCAGTTTTATTACCTTGTTTTTTTTAATTTTATTACCGGCCTGCTCCACGTCCCCCAATCCCACCATTGGCGGGAGAGCCTTCAGCCACTCTGCCCCCAACCACTGGAATTCCATCCTCCAGTCACTCCGCCTCGACCCCTCCTTAGCTTCCTTCAAGTCCTGCCTCAAAACCCTTCTCTTTGACCACGCCATTGGCCATCCCTCTTCCCCTCCCTTCTCACCCCCTGACCCCAGCTCAGGTCTGAAATGCTGTCACTGTCCAGCGCCTTGAGATGTCCTCCCGACGTGAAAGGCGCTATACAAATGGAATCTTGTTGTTGTTGAGGTACAAGTTATTAACAATTTTCAATTAGCAGCTCAATGATCCATTAGCTCCTGATGTTCCTTATTATTTGCAAAACACTGCCCGCCATTTGGTACACAGCACAATAACATCAACACATGTTCAGAGCTCTGCTTCTGTCTGTATCCCGTGAAGCACTTTGAGACATCTCAATGATGTCCTAAGGCGCTAGATCAAATGCAAGGAATATTAATCATAGAATCATGGAATTGTACAGCACAGAAGGAGGCCATTCAATGCATTGTGTCTGTGCCGGCTCTTCGAAATGAGCTTCCAAATCAATCCCACTGCCCCGCTCTCCCTCCCCATAGCACTGCACACTTGTCCTCCCCAAATATATTATCTAATATTATTTTATAATCAATGTTTTATTTTTGCAGCACATGTATGATGGGGCAGTGGAAATGTAAAGATCTTTTCTGTCCGGGAAGATGTTCAGTTGAAGGCGGCTCACACGTCAATACATTTGATTCCAAAATGTACCGATTCCACGGGGCCTGCACCTATGTGCTTGTCAAAGTAAGTTTTCATCTGTTGCACCCTGTAATCTGCGGCAGTCAGGCTTCACATTGTGAGTTTCTCTGCTGTGTGTCTCTACGTGTGCGTATTTATAGTGTTTCTCTGCTGTGTGTGTGTGTGTCTATCTGTTTCTCTGCTGTGTGTATCTATGTGTTTCTCTGTTTATCTGTGTTGCTCTGCTATGTGTGTGTATCAGTGTTTCTCTGGTGTGTGTGTGTATCTGTGTTTCTCTACTCTGTGTGTGTCCATCCCTCCTCTCCAGCTTCCGCCCTATCTCTAACCTCCCATTCCTCTCCAAGGTCCTGGAACGAGTCATTGCGTCCCAGCTTCGCTCCTTTCTTTCTCGCCATTCCTTCTTTGAACCCCTCCAATCCGGCTTCCACAGCCCAGAAACAGCCCGGAAACAGCCCGGGTCACAGTCACTAATGACATTCTGAACATCTGTGATCAGGGCTCCCTCTGCTTCCTTGTCCTCCTCGACCTCTCTGCCGCTTTCGACACTGTGGACCACTCCATCCTCATACACCGCCTCTCCCCTTTACTCAGTCTTCACGGACCTGCCCTTGTCTAGTTCAATTCCTATATCTCTCCACTTTGCTGCCTCTAACAGTTTCTCCTCCAGCTCCCGCACTGTCACGTCTGGCGTCCCCCAGGGTTCTGTCCTTGTCTCCTCTTTAATATCTACATGCTCCCCCTCGGGGACATCATCCACAGACATGGGGTCAACTTCCACATGTATTCGAATGTCACCCAACTCTATCTTTCTGCCCCCACCCTCAACTCCAGGACCACTGCTGTCCTGACAGACTGCCTGTGTGCCCCCACCCTCAACTCCAGACCCACTGCTGTCCTGACAGACTGTCTGTCAGACATCAAGTCCTGGATGAGGGCAAATTTCCTTCAGTTGAATGTGAACAAGACTGAGGCCCTCCTGATCGGCTCACGCCAGCGCCTCAGCACCTCAGGCTCTGGCAGCATCAACCTCCATTTCAACTCTCCAGGCAGTCAGGAACCGAGGTGTCTTTTTTTTCCCACATTCAAACCATGACCCACTCTGCCTTCCCTCACCTCCGTAACATCACCCGACTCCGCCACTACCTCACCCCTCAGGCGCTGAAACTCTTGTTCATGCCTTCATCACCTCCAGGCTCGACTATGCAAACCCCCTGCTTGTCGGCCTTCCCAACTCCTCCCTCCGCAGGCTGCAGATCCAGAACCCTGCAGCCCGTGTCCTCTCCTGTACCAAACTCCGTGATCCCATCTCCCCCACTCTCGCCCGACTACATTGGCTCCCTATCCTTCAGAGGATACAATTGAAGATCCTGGTCCTCACATAAAAAGCCTTCCATGGCCTCACCCCACCCTACCTCTGCGACCTCCTAACCCCCTACCAATCCACCCGTTCCGTCCGCTCAGCCAGCTCTGACCTTTTCTACGTCCCCCGACCCACTCGCCCCACCATAGGTGGGAGAGCCTTCAGCCACTCTGCCCCCAACTTCTGGAATTCCATGCCCCAGTCACTTCGCCTCGCCCCCTCCTTAACCTCCTTCAAGTTCCGCCTCAATACCCTCCTCCTTGACCATGCCATCGGCCACCCCACTTCCCCTCCCCTCCCTTCTCCCCCCCCCAACTCCGGCTCGGGTCTGAAATGCTGTACTCTGTCCAGCACCTTGGGACGTTCTCCCGACGTGAAAGGCGCTATACAAATGTAATGTTGTTGTTGTTGTTTACTCTTTTCTGTTTTTCTTGTTACACAGAGTGACAGGTTACCTGAAAATGGAACTCTGGAAGCTGTATTTCAAAGCTGTGGTCACAGGGGTACAGAAACCTGCTTAACAAAGATAATCTATGCCAAAGACCAGGTAAGCATTGACCAGGAGCGGGTGTTCGACAGGCAGTTACTCTGGATCTATGTTTCATTAAAAAACACAGGCCTTGGTCTCCTTTGTTTAAATTTCATTTCAATAATGCATTTAATACAGTTGATAGTTATTTTTGTCCCTTTAGTATTGATCAGCTCAGTACAAAATACTGAGATTGATTATTTCTGTTGCTTAAGTTTTGAATCATTAATGAGCAGAGAAGAGAGCCCAGCAGCCTGAGGAGGAAACTGAGTAGGTGGAACAGAGTGAGAATTCTGTTAAGGAATTTGGTGTGAGTGAAGATTTGGTGAGAGTGAGGTGGAACAGGGTAAGAATACAATTAAAGACACAGTTACGGCCTGAAAAGGACGACGTGTTAGAGGTGGTCAGAATTAAGGAGCAGAAAAGGAGCTGTTACTCTGCTTGGTGTAACCATAGACCACCAAATAGCGGGAAGGAGATAGACGAGCACATCTGTAAGCAAATTTCAGAAAGATGTAACATCAATAGAGTAGTGATAATGGGGGACTTCAATTATCCTAACATAGGTGGCAAAATATGTGTAAATGGCAAAGAGTGGGGAGGATTCCTGAAATGTGTGCAGGACAACTTTCTGGATCCGTATGTTTCCAGCCCAACAAGGAAGGAAGCAGTGTTGGATCTAGTTCTGGGGAGTGAAATGAGGCAAGTGGTGCAGGTTTCAGTGGTAGGATCTGGATAATAGTGATCACAACATCATTGGGTTTAGAGCACTTATGGAAAGGGACAAGGAATGATCAAAGTTGAAGATATTCAACTGGAAGAGGGTTAATTTCAATGAGTTGAAAAGGGACCTAGCAAAGTAGGGGTGGAATTAATGGCTCTGGCCACAACCTTTCAATCCTCTTTGGATACTGGAATGGTGCCAGAGGAACTACCCAGGAATTACAGGCCAGTCAGTCTAACGTCAAGAGTAGGGAAACTTCTGGAGACTATAATTCAGGACAAGATAAATTTTCACTTGGATAAATCTAGGTTAATAAAGGACAGCCAACATGGATTTGGTAAAGACAAATCATGTCTAACAAACCGGATGGGGTAAAGGAAAGGGCGGATGAAGGTAGTGTAGTTGATGTAGTTTATATGGTTTTTCAAAAGGGGTTTGATAAAATGCCACATACGAGACTTGTAAGAAAAATAGAAGCCCACAGTATTAAAGGGACAGTGGCAGCGGATACAGAACTGGCTGGGACAGAAAGCAGAGAGTGGTGGTGAACGGTTGTTTTTCTGACTGGAGGGACGTGTGCAGTGGTGTCCCCCAGGGATCAGTATTGGGACCACTGCTGTTTCTGATCTATACAAATGACCTGGACTTGTGTATAGGCAATATACGCTGATGTACAATCTTAAAGGAGGTGAAGGAACAGAGATACCTGGGGGGTCATATAGTAAATCTTTGAAGGTGGCAGGACAGGTAGATAAAGCTGTTAAATAATCATACAGGTCACTAGGCTTTATAAATAGGGGCATAGAATACAAAAGTCAGGAAGTTATGATGAACCTTTATATAAAACAATGGTTAGGCCTCAGCGAGAGACTGTGCTCAGTTCTGGGCACTGCCCTTTAGGAAAGATGTCAAGGCATTGGAGAAGGTGCAGAGGAGATTTCCCAGGATGGTACCAGGAATGAGGGACTTCAGTTATCAGGAGAGGTAGAGAAGCTGGGATTATTCTCTTTGGAGCAGAGAAAGTTAAGAGGCGACTTAATAGAAGTTTTCAAAATTCTGAGGGAATTTGATAGGGGGAACAAGGAGAAACTATTCCCCCTGGCGGGTAGGTCAGTAACCCAAGGCCACTGATTTAAATTAGTTGTTAAAAGAAACAGAGGGGAGGTGAGGAGAAATTTTTTCACACGCGAGTTGTTTGGATCTGGAATGCATTGTCTGAAAGGCTGATGGGGGAGTGGGAATGATTTGGAAGCTCTTTTTAAAGTGCCGGCACAGAAACAATGAGCTGAATGGCCTCCTTCTGTGCTGTATAATTCTATGATTCTATGGATGAGTTACGACAACCAGAGTCATAGAATCATAGAATATTACAACACAGAAGAAGGCCATTTGGCCCATTGTGCTTGTGCCGGGTCTTTGGAAGTCCTACCAAATCAGTCCCACTCTTTCGCCAATACCCATGCAAATTATTCCTTTTCAAGTACCTGTCTAATTCCCTCTTGAAAGTTATTATTGCATCTGATTAGAACATAAGAATTAGGAGCAGGAGTAGGCCATTCGGCCCCTCAAGCTTGCCCCGCCATTCAATAAGATCATGGCTGATCTATTCTAACTACACCTCCCGCCTTATTCCCATATCCCTTAATCCCTTTATCCACAAGAAATCTATCAATCTCAGTCTTGAATGTGTTCAAAGACTGAGCATCTACAGCCTTTTGGGGTAGAGAATTCCATAAATTCACTACCCGCTGAATGAAGTTTTTCCTCAACTCAGTGCGAAAGGGCTTATCCCTAATTCTAAGACTCTGACCCCTGGTCATAGTTTCTATTAGAACTGCAAACTAACTTTTTGTGACTGGTGTAAAAGGACACCCAAGTCCCTCTGAACGCTAACACTATCTACTCTCTCCCCTTCTAAAAAATAATCTGCTCTACTGTTTTTGCCACCTAGGTGGATGACTTCACACTTCTCTACATTATACTTCATCTGCCACCTATTTGCCCACTCACCTGCCTATCTATATGTCATCCTTGGTGTTTACTCTCCCTCCTAGTTTAGTGTCATCCGCGAATTTAGATATATTAACTTCGATGTCCTCATCTAGATTGTTGATGTAGATGGTAAATAGTTGAGGCCCAAGGACTGATCTTTGTGGCACTCCACTAGTCACATCCCGCCAATCTGAGAAGAACCCGTTTATCCCTATTCTTTGTTTTCTTCCCGTTAGCCATTTTTCAATCCACCCTTTCAGGCAGTGCATGAAAGGAAATCCTTCCTTTTACATTTAAACTGCTTAAAGATATCATAGCTAGCATTCACACAAACCTATTTAACAAACCTGGAAAGATACAGAGATTTATTTGTCGAAACCTGTAAAGGAATCAAACCAGATATACTGTAGGCCACACAGAAACAGGACATTGGGTATGTTCTATACTGTGTGCATTATAGTGCATCTATGTCTTCTTCAAGAGCTGTCTCTCAGACCTTCCTCTTTGACCATGGCTTCAGTCATCTTCCTACCCCACCCTCCCCAACCCCACCCCACCTCCTGATTCCAACCCAAAGCATAGCTGCAAACCCTTCACTATCCAGCACCTCGGAACCAACTCCCAACATGAAGGATGCTTTAGAAATGCAATTTGTTGTTGTGCATTTGGTAATTTTATAACGTGAAATTCACATCAGTGAAAGAATTTACCAATCTTTAAATGTAACATTTGTTTACAGAATGTGATCCTGTACACCAAGACATTTTCTGTTGAGTGCAAAGATTGAAATGAATTTCAGTGAAAAGGATACAGACTTGCAGCTGTAGCCACCTTTTGTTCAGCAACAACTCCGTAACATTAGCCAAGCATTATCCTGCTTTAACTCAATCTCCATTTCCAAATGTTGCATCTGAAATTATCATCTTTGTAACCAAATAATCCTTGTTTATGTTTTGACAGTTAAGGATCATCATTTCTCAGAACACCACAATACAAGTCAACAATCAATGGAGGAGATTGCCCTACACAAGAGGTGAATGGAATGATGGATTGTTGTATTAAAACGTCCATTATTCTCTACTGGGAGATTTCCTTTGGCCAACTTTCTAATCCCAGTTTTCTCGTCACAGCACATGCTATGGGTTTGGTTGACCAGTCTGCAGAGCTCAATGTTGTTAGCAAGTTATATATGGAATAAAAAGTGAATAAATGTTTGACAAATAAATATCCCAAACATGTAAATGGTTAAAATTTACAAACCATGAACTTGTACTTTGCACAAACACACTGGATTCAGCGCTTTGGGACATCCTCCCGACGTGAAAGGCGCTCTATAAATGTCATTTTGTTGTTGTTGTAGTGACTGAGGATAGTGCTTCTGAAAATCGTTTTTTACTGAAAAATCTCGGCAGTGCTTGGCTTGTCCATACTTGTCTAATAACAGTCCTTACACTTGATATGCGCTTCGCAGGATTTACTGTGAACTGTAGTGACTCTATGTTTTGGGCCACTTGGTGAGTTACAAAGTTGACCTTGGCAGTAAGGCACCGACGGAGCCTGCCCAGCCCTGTTCACTGGCTCTTGCTCACCCATCAAAGTGGGGGACGTTTGCTTTCCTCTTTTTCCTGTGAGGGGCTTCCTGCTTGTGACATCTGACTTCCCCTGTATCAGGGCCAATGGAAGTTAGAATTAGCAGGGTGGGGACCTGGTGTCTTTGCTGAAAAAAAATTAAATCCACGACTGTTTGTGGGACACTTCTGTGCGCAATTGGCTGCATGCTTCGCCCACAAAATATACAGTCAATTCACCTTACAGTATATTCTTTGAAGCGCTTTGAGATGTCTCAACAATGTGCTAAATGCAAGGATTATTATCATTATATTATTATAACACCTGCACTGCCAGGTATAGGGTTTTTTATATTTATTCATTCACTAATTGTCTTCCTTTTTTCAGACGGGATTCGGATTTACAGAGAGTCCTCCACTCACCTCCAGGTGCACACAAACTTCGGCCTGCAGATCCAAATTCAGTTCTGTTCTCCCTTTCAGGTCCACGTTTATGTGGACCAAACATTTTGTCACACGACTCACGGTAAGCACATGAGTAGCTTTCCTTAACGGGGAACATTCTTTGAGAAGAAATGACACATCTTGTTGCTTATTAATAATATTCCACTCTTTGAATTCAATTTTATTCTGGAGAATAACATGGAGCTCTTTATTCTCCTCCAGGTCTGTGTGGTAACTTCAATGGAGACTCCAACGATGATTTCATGAGCAGTATGGCGATCTCAGAAGCAACGGCTTCTCTTTTTGCAGATTCCTGGAAAGTCATGGCAAACTGTAGGCACTCTTGTGATGAAGATTATGAACCATGCTCACTGAGTGAGTTAAAATGTAAGTGGACACTAGCACGATGCAGTTTGAATCAGTTCACAGTGTGATATTGTTTAATATCATGAGCCTGGCAGCGAGGATCTAATGATGAAGAGACGTAGTATCACAGATTGTAATCTGGCATTTAATGTCAGCACAGTACAATTTTATATAATGTTTTCCATGCCCCTACATTGCCAGTTGTGGGTTTGCACCTGAGCTGGAGGTGAGAGGGCAAGATGGGAAAGATGTCCCCAAGCACAGTCAAAGAGGAAGGTCTTGAGGCAGACCTTGAAGGAGCCGGTAGTTGAGGCAGAGAATATAGTTGCACTCCAGAGGAAGCTAGATATATACAGGAGGAGGGGAAGAGAAGGGCATGGGAGTGAGTAAGGAGTGTGTGAAGACTCCATGTGGAGTATGAACACCATCATAGCCTGTCGAATGGCCTGTTTCTGTGCTGTGAAATCTAACAAAATCCATAAGAAAGCTCACGTCTTTTCTCTTTACAGATGTATTTGCTCGAACTCACTGTTCTATATTAATGAACAGATTCTCCATATTTAGGAGATGTCATCATGTTGTGAACCCGAGAGACTATTATGAGGTAAAACAGCCTTATTTTGGACTTGCCTTCCAAATAAGGAATTCCTGTACATTTCAAAGCATCTTAGACCTCATTGGAGCTAACTGACCAGAGATGTTGAGAGACTGAAAGTCAAAGGTTTTGATTCATGGTGTTTGATTGGATCTATATCTAATTTTAGATAAACACTGTAAAGTGATGTGGGGTGCAAAGTGGTGTGACTGTATTATGTGGGCGTATAATGTTCTTGAGTGTTTTGGTGACTTCTTCCTAAACGTCTTTGACATCTTCAATGCCTTTGACAAGCTGTGGCTCAGTCCACTTCTATACAGGTTAGCAAAGTCATGACCTTACAGTAAAGCTATGTTTAATTGAAATTCCATAGCCTCTCAGAATGTTTTTATTCCTTCAAACTGATTTGGGTGTTGACTATTCATTTTGTGAACACTACTAAGAGAGGGTCTCAGGATGCACAGTAGTATAGTCTGCAGATCACTTTGTATTTATACTTCAATTTCTTTATTCTTCCCCAGCGTTGTAAATACGAGACGTGCAACTATGAGAAAGTAAATGATTTTATGTGTAATTCTCTCGGATCGTATGCTCGAGCCTGTCTTCTGAAGGGTGTGATATTGAATGGCTGGAGAGAACAAGTAGAGGGCTGCAGTAAGTCTGCAACTATTCTTCATTCGCGTTCCTCCCTTGTGTGTGACAATGATCTGAAATGAATTGGTCACATTTGCATTTGCTGAAGCGACCTTTAAGATGTAGAACAGTTTTTATTTTCTGTAATAATAATACTAATATCCTTGTATTTGATATAGCGCTTTATCACGTCTTCGAGACGTCTCAAAGCTCTTCACAGAATGTACTGTAAAGTGAATTGACTGTGTATTTATGGGTAAAAATTCCTTTTTCAATTTGTTTTTAAAAACAAAATAAAAAGATGACTTTTGTAGTGCACATCACAGCGCTGCTTCCTTTCTACCACCGCCCACCCACCCAGCTCGCTTCCCCAGCAATAAACATCATCAATCTCTGGGTTGTAAGGTTGTTGAGCATCAGCTATTCCCCTCTTCTAACCCTCTCTTTTTCCTCCTCCCTCATGTCTGCATCAAGTTTCCTCTTAAATACGTTGGTGCTTTCTGTTTCAACTACAGCTTCCAGTAGTGAGATCTCTACCTTCTCACTGCCATTTTTAAAGTTCCTGCTAAATTCCCTTTGATGTGCTATTTGCTGTCTTATATTTCTGACCCCTTGTTTTCGGGGCTCACCAACAAGTAAAAACAACCTACTCAATTATTCATTGGGAAAAGCAAAACATATTATTGAGTTGCAATATAATCCACAGTGATGTGATTCAAGTGCTGACTTCCTTAACAAACAGACTGTTTGAATCTTTTTCAGGTATTCATTGTTTTCAAAATCAGATATTCAGTTACAACTCGAGAGCATGTCACCGCACGTGTGTTTCCCTGTCCCATCCCGACCTGGAATGCAATTCAACCGATATTCCTGTGGATGGCTGCAACTGCCTAGAAAACTTGTACCTGGATTATGATGAGAAATGTGTACCTGAAGCTGAATGCTCATGTTTCCTCCCTAATGCTACTGCTGTACTGCCTCATCATCAAATATCTCTTAACGGTAGAATATGGTAAGTCGATCAGTTGTTAACCCAGTCGTTGAATAAACGTTATTGAAATGTAAATTGTTGGGGGTGTGACGAACATTATAACCAAGTGTGAAACAACAAAAGCCAGCTTGCCCCATTGAGTATAATCAGAGGGTAAACATCCAGGAAGTGAGGACTCTGGTGAAATGTATTCCCAATTAAAGTTAACTCTTCCTCAATCACTCTGCCTTGCCCTCTCCTTCCCCATCTGCAGATCACACCCAAAGACCTTCCTTTTCGATCTTGGCATCGGACTCCATCACTGTCAAGCACTCTGATCCCCTGTGTGAGGGGCGCTGTGTAAATGCGAGTTGTTGTTTTAACTGAGTGAAAACTTCAGGAAATCTGTACTAACCCTCACATTTGATACAGCCTTTCACACTGGTAGGATGTCGCAAAGTGTTTCACAAAATTGAGTGTAATGACTATGCAATTTGTAGGTGAATACAGCAGCCAATTTGTGCACAGCAATGTTACACAATCAACTATGAAGTGAATGATCAATTTATGCTGAGGATTGTTGGCCAGGATACCAAGAGAAATTTTCTTCTCTTTTCTCCACTGGTCTTACATTCTTACTGTTTTTGATTTGTCAAATATTGATGCAATTCCAGTGATTGCTTTGCTAGTGGAGGGTGACTGAGTGCACTATCTGTTTTACAGTACTTGTGAGAATGGAAAGCTGCAGTGCAAAGATCAGATCCCCGAGGGTAGGAAAGATCTTTTTAATTCTCAATGTGATGTAAAATATATATATTTGATGTTTGAATGTTATTGTTCTGTGCATTGTGTCAATATCCAATTTAATTTAATAATTGGAAAAAATGGTCTAACTATTTGATTGGAGACCCACAAGGCAGAATTACGTCTGATTCGTTTTTCAGATTATTGTCCCGATGACAAAATTTACGTGGCCTGTGTTGAGGGACAAGAAGATAATTCTGGGGTAGCATGTGCACCAACATGTCAGACCCTGGCCACGGAAAGTCAGTGTGTGAGTAGCGAATACCTGCTCTGTCTTAAAATAGCAAACTAACTTCTATAATAATATCAATAATAATCCTTGCATTTAATATAACGCCTTATCACATCATTGAGATATCTCAAAGGGCTTCGCAGAATATTATTGTAAAAGAATTGACTGTGTATTTTGTGGGCGAAATGTGGCAGCCAATTGCGCACAGCAGCGTCCCACAAACAGTTGTGGATTGAGTGACCAAATTATTATTTTTTTAAGGGATTATCACCCCCGGAAAAGCGATCTGCCAATCGACTAACAACTGCGCAGTAAACAGACACACGTGGAGGAAGGAAACGTGCCTACCATTTCTCCCTGCTTGGAAATCGAATTCAGGTCCTCTCCTTTGCGATTAGTGGTAGTGGCAGGGCGAAACCTTGGGCAAGTTTCCTTACTCCACACGCCTAATAATAATCCTTTTCAATAAATTGGTCCTTTTCAATCTACGACTGTTTGTGGGACATTGCTGTGCGCAATTGGCTGCCGCGTTCGCCCACAAATATACAGTCAATTCACTTTACAGTGTGTTCTGTGAAGCGCTTTGGGACGTCCTCCCGACGTGAAAAGCGCTATATCAAATGCAAGGATTATTATTATTATTATTATTATTATTATTATTATTATGTCCTGTAACATAGTGTTGATGGACAAGAAGATGATTCTGGGGCAGCATATGCACCAATATGTCAGATCCTGGCCACGGAAAGTCAGTGTTTGAGTAGCAAATGTCACAACCTGCTCTCGCCTCGCAAGTAAGAGGACCTGGGTTCGATTCCCAGGAGGGTGAAATGTTGGGCAATTTTTTTTATTCCACATGCCCCTGTTCACTTAGCAGTAAATAGGAACCCGGTTGTTGGTGGATCGCTTTTCTGGGGGCAACTTCTAGTCTGATTGTTTGAGGTAAAGTTTTCAGTGATTTTCAAAATTGTTCCTGGCGGTAACTTTGTTCCTTAGTTTGTGCTGTTGTTACATGGTGAGTCAAGCAGGGGAGCAGCCCTACTACTCTGATGCCAGTGTCAAACTTCATGCCCTCACTGACCTGTCCTTATTGAGGCAGGTGTCAGTCTGGCTCAGTCCTTCACATTTTTGCCTCTGAATCTGAAGGATGTGGGTTCAAACCCCACATCGAAGATTGAGGCTCAGTCTAGGCTGATGCTCCAGTGCAAATGCTGTAGTTGTGTTGTGTTGTCTGAGATGACGTTCTATGCATCATCACCTTCAAAGCCCTCTATGATTTTGCTCCACCTATCTCTCTGGCCTTCTAACCCCATATCAGCCTGACCACTCCCTCGCTCGGCGGACACTGACCTGCTTCAGGTCCCCTGCACTTCCGACCCCCCCAATTGGCAGTCAGACATTCAGCACCACTGCCCGTACACAGTGGAACTCTATCCCGCAATCCCTCCGCTTCACCCCCTCTCGCTGGCCTCCTTCAAGTCCTGTCTGAAAACCTTCCTCTTCGACCATAGCTAATGCCACCGTCCCACCCCCACTCCCCTATCCTTCACCCCTCCTGACTCCAACTCCCAGCTCGGGTCTAAAAATGCCCTGGGACTACTATTCCCTCTAAGTTGCGTGTGTGTGTCGTGCAGCAGTCTGCTGTGTACCGTGCACTTTTTTTTTACAGTGGCGCACACAACCTTTAAAAACTAGAGGACGTCTTTCCAATGTTAAAGGCGCTATACAAGTGTAAGTTGTTGTTGTAAACCAAGGACCCATCTACCTGTTGAGATGCACATTAAAGATCTTACATCGATATTCAAAAGGATAAGAAAATTTCTCCTGGCCAACAATCCACCAGATAAAATTGGTTGTTGACTTCATGGCTGTTTGTGGAACTTTGCTTTGCACAAATTAGCTGCCTACAAATGCACAGTCACTACACTTCACAGTATATCCTGTCTAGCAGGTGCTGTATAAAATATAATACAATCCAAAATTACATTTGTAAAGTGCCAGTCACGTCGGGAGGACGTCCAGTAAGGATAATAATAATTAATAGATCTGATTAAAAATATTATAGGAATAGGAAACTGCCAATAAAGTAATTGTAAAGTCACTTGTAGCCCCTCAACTGGAGATTTAAGTCAAGACCAAAGCTGAGGTCCTGGTGGGGCGGGGGGGGGTGGAGGGGTTACACATAATATTGGCGTAAACTAAAAAATTATATTTCCAGCATTGACTCAAGCATTCTCAAGTTATAGATGTCGGAATTGTTACCCGGTTGTATATTATGTGGTTAATTTAAAAATATAATTACTTAAATCCCTCAGTTAGCAACTAAGTGTGTACCAGGTTGCATATGTCCGAAGGAAATGGTATCCGATGGGCACAATGGATGTGTCCATGCTAACAAATGTCCCTGTGAGTTCAGTGGTGTGTCATACCAACACCAGCAGCAAGTGGAGCAGAACTGTCAGAAATGGTAAGATGCTACACATTTGTTCACTTTATCCACAGCAACCAAACGTGCGAAACATGGTACAGTGTAAAGTCGGCACTGGTTGGTTTCCGCATGGTCAACTCAGAGCTTTTGGTCCCTTTTTGTCTGTGAATAGTTGTTCTGTCATGTCACTTATCTGTATCTTTACTGTATCTTTACATTAGAAATGTAATGTATCTTTACATTACATTTCTTTACTGTATCTTCACATTAGAAAACCAATTGATCTGTGGGCAGGGTTGGTATCAAATTGCCCATTGTGTTCTAACACTGGTAAGAACAAAATCACTTAATACAGAATAAAACTAACCTGTGATTACAACTACCCCTGCCATGACTAAGTGACCTGTGACCTGTGACTGACTAACCCATTCAAAACATATTGTTAAGCAATGTGACTGACCAACTGATTTTACTGGGGTTAGAAGTTGGACAGATCGTATGGTTTATTGTGCCAATGCTTTAGAGACTTTGAAAACTAAGTGTTATTTCTTACAATTATCAGAGAGCAACATATTGGAAAGTAAGAGATTAAGATTAAAGTAGATTAAGAAAGATACATTTTCACCAAACATTTAATATTTGAACACTGCAACCTTGTCCTGTCTTTGTAGTTTGGTAGCACATTGGCTGTGCTAATGACTGAGTGATGCGCCACAATCATCTTATATTTCTTCACAATGTTTATGATGTCTTGTAATAATGTTTGTATCTTAACAGTATTTGCTTGAGCGGGAAATGGAACTGCAGCACCGACGGAATGTGTCCTTCGACTTGTGTTGTCCACGGCGAGGGTCACATCACCACCTTTGATGGCAAATATTATGGGTTTGATGGCAATTGTGAATATACTTTAGTTCAGGTAAAATGTAAAGATTTATGACTGTTACTGTTAGAGGTTTTTCTCTCAGTCTTGGCCCTGCTTACGCTGCTCTTCTGGAACGACTCTCTTGAAGGCAGCAACTGATAGTCACGTCCGGTACCAGAATGAACCAAACTGCCATTCTTTATGGGTGACATAGGTCCGGGTTAATGGGCTGATAACTTTGAGGGGCCTGAGAGCCACACACAAGGCCAATGGTGTAATTGCTGTTCACATTGAAATTGAATGATTTAACACAGTTGCGGGACTGAGTCCCGGCATTTCCTGATCCGTTGGTGCAGCATTAACCCAATGGGGTGTTGTCTTATATTTAAACTGATTTGTTGTTTTCTGTACCTATTATTAATTTCTTGTTCTTGTAGGACACTTGCACTCCAGAACAGACAAATCTATCATTCAAGATAACATCAGAAAACTATGTTTGTGGTGATAATCAGGTGACATGTACAAGGGGTGCCAAGATTTACCTTGAGGTAGGTAGCAGTCACGGTAGACATTTTCAGGCACGTCACTGTGTCTAGCCGCTGGTGAGAATATGGTGTAACCTTTGTTTTATATATTACAGTAAAACTTACATACGTCAGGACCGTAACATTTAATATGAATTACGTGAAGACTGTGTTGCAGGCAAACTAAGTTGTAGAAAATCTGATTTATTCAGTAGTCTACACTGCGCATGTTTAATTTAATTTATTGCTGCCAGTAAGTGCACATGCGTTAGTTATCACTGCAGCCACACGTGCATGTGGTGATGGTTCAAGACTACATTTCCCGCGATTTAATGCATCTTGACCAGTCATCGCATGCACACTTACCGTAAAACATTGGAATCTCATTGAATTCGGGAAATTAAGTTGTTCTGCGCGTTCGATTGCCAGATCAAGACTGCATTTCCTGTGAATTAAATGCAGCCGGCCGGTAATTGTACATGTGTGGACGGACGGGTGAGTACTTTATTCAAGGCAGCTGGTATGTGAGGGAGTAATGGAGGATAGAGGAGCAGTGTTATGAGTTAGGAGGTGATTAATACAAGTTGTGTGAAGAAATCTAAATGGTTTTGATAGGAAACTGAATGGGACTCAGGTAAATGTATGACTTAGGCGATTATACAACTTATAAAGATAAGGTAAGATTTACTGTTTTTGTTTCATTGAATTAGGGACATTGCTGTACACACATTGACTGCCATATTTTGCTTATAAAATACACAATCACTAACTTTAAGATGTCTGGAGTATAAACACCGGCATGGACTGACTGGTTAAGCCAAATGGCCTGTTTCTGTGCTGTACATTGTACGTAAATCTATGTAAGTAGTTGAGAGTTGGACTTATTACAATTTGTGTGTGTGCGTGTCATTATGATATGATGTGGACTTTTCTTCCAGGATTATTGTATCAGACTGGCAGACGGCACTTACAGCGTCCAACCTGAAAGTGCAGAATTGAACTTCAAACTCCAAAAAAACCCAATGTATTTATTGTTTGTAATCAAAATCCAGAAAGACCTTGAGCTAAAAATTATATGGAATAAGGGGATGTCTCTTTATATTCAGCTCACAGGAATACTGCAGGTAACGGGATTCCTTTGTCTATATCTTTACAATCTTAGAAAATGTCACATCATCTCAGTAACTGTTGTCCATGTGAAAATTTTGAGGAGAAATTCCATCAGTTCAGGTTTAACCTCTGCAGCGTTCCAATGTCATCGAAATCTCACCTCATACACAGCCTTCATTTTAAAGCTGATTTTCTGGCAATTGTTTTAAAAACAACAAAACAATGACTTGAAAAGCAAAACTCAACAATTTGCCCAATTCTGGATATTATAAAATGTTACATGAAGTACTGCTAATCTAGATCCTGCTGGAATTTCCTTGCAGGTGTTTCCATCATCTCCCTCAGGCGCCCAATTCTGGTTAATTCAGTATCAGAGTTCCCTCCACAATACACCAGGCAGCACATGCCCCACAGTCCTGGGACAAGCTCATCACACGTCGTGGGCTGGATGTGATGATCCTCCAGCTATATATCCCAACACATCCTTGTTTGCCTCTTTATTTACTTCTCCGTCCTCGTCTCCACTAAACCGTTGTTCTACTCCAAGAAAATTTTGGAGGTCAAGGCAACCCCAGGCTCCTCTTCTCCATCACCAACTGGCTCCTCCGCCCACCCTCTCAAGCAACTCCCATCCTCACCTCAATTGCCAACTGCGAGGCGATGCTGGACTTACTCAAATCCAAAGTCAAGGGGATCCGTTCAGCTGCTTCTGCCATTCCGTCTGTTATAACCTCCCCATCTCTGCCTACTACCCCGGCCCCTACCCATCCCTCCCTCCACATCTTTGAACCTGTCTCCCCCTCCTCTCTCATCACCACTATAACCCGCATGAAACTGACCACCTGCTCCCTCGACACCTTACCCCTCTCCTTACCTCCCAGCCTCCACCTCCTTGCCCCTCTACTCACAGACATCATAAGCCTCTCCCTGTCCACTGGTACTGTTCCCACCTCATTAAAAACATCCGTCATCATTTCTATCCTTAAAAAACCCTCCCTGGACCCATCTCTACACTCAAACTACCACCCCATCTCCATCCCCTCCACAAACCCCTCCAATTGGGTTTCCACAGCACAAAAACAGCACTAGTCAAAGTGACAAATGACATTTTGTCCATCTGCAACTAGACCTCCCTCTGCCTCCTCATCCTCCTTGACCTCTCTGCTGCCTTCAAAACCTTTGAACACTCTATCCTCACCCACTGTCTCTCCTTTCACCTCAACCTTCAAGGGTCTGTCCTTGACTAGTTCAGATCATACCTGTCACACCGCCTCCATTTCATCTCCACAAACAGTTTCTCCTCTAGCCCCCACACCATCTCATGCGGCGTTCCCCAGGGCTCTGTCCTTGGTCCCCTCCTCTTCAATTTATGCTTCCACTTGGTGACATCAACTGTAGACATGGGGTCAACATCCACATGACACACAACTCTGCCTCTCTGCCTCTACCCTGGACTCCAGGACTCACTGCTGTCCTGACAGAATGTCTGTCAGACATCAAGTCCTGGATGAGGGCTAATTTTTTTCAGTTGAACGTCAACAAGACCAAGGTCCTCCTGATTGGCTCCCGTCAGCGCCTCCTCACCTCAGGGCTGACAGCATCACCATCAATGGGGCTCACTCCCCTTCACTGAGCCGGTCCGGAACCTTGGGGTCTTGTTTGACCCTCAACTATCCTTTCTACCCCTACCATGGCCCGCTCTGCCTTCCCCACCTCCGCAACATCGCCCGACTCCGCCACTGTCTCACACTGCAGGCCCCCCGAGATCCTCATGCACGCCTTCATTATATCGAGGCTTCACTATGCAAACTCCCTGCTTGTCGGCCTCCCCAACTCCTCCCTCCACAGGCTTCAGATCATTCAGAACTCTGCAGCCCATGTCCTCTCCCACACCAGGCTCCGTGACCCTGTCACCCCCAATCTCGCCTGACTCCACTGGCTTCCCATCACACAGAGAATACAGTTCAAATTCCTGGTCCTCACCTTCAAAGCCCTCCATGGCCTCGCTCCCCCTGACGTTTCCGACCTCCTAAACCCGTACCATCCTGCTCGCTCCCTCTGCTCAGCGGGCTCCGGCCTGCTTCACGTCCCCCATCTCACTCGCCCCACTATTGGCGGAAGGGCTTTCTGCCACTCTGCCCCCACCCTCTGAACTCCATCCTGCAGTCCCTCCATCTCGCCCCCTCCCTTGCCTTCTTCAAGACCCATCTCAAGACCCGCCACTTCGATCGTGCTTTCGATCTCCCTAGTTACCCCCCTGCCCTCCAACCTCCCTGATCCCAACCCCCAGCTCGGGTCCGAAACTTTGTCTGTCCAGCGCCTTGGGACATCCTCCCAAAGTGACAGGCGCTATACAAATGTAATTTTATTTTTGTTTTTGTTGTTGCACATTGTGCTGATGGTTTCTGTGAGCTTTCCATCTGTTCCCCAGGTTCCACACCTGGATTGTCTTTTGGAGTCTATTCCTGTTTAACTTAGCATTCCACAAATCCAATTTCTTTCCGCAAATCTTAACCATCCCAGGTATGATCCCATTATGTGCCTTCCATCTTTAGTAAACATCCCCAGCTTAGCTTAAATTGTAAATAGGAATGGGCCACAACTGTTCCTTCTCTCCATTCTCGGGCAGTAAATGTACAATTGCTCGTTGTTTCCTCTAATTTAGCCAACTTCTGATCCACTTCATCCCTCCCTTGTGTTTTCCTGTCACTCTCCCCTGTGTATTTCTGTCACTCTCTCCCCTGTGTGCTCCTGTCACTCTCTGCCATGTGTTCCTGTCACTCTCTTCCCTGTGTGTTCCTGTCACTCTCTTCCCTGTGTGTTCCTGTCACTCTCCCCTGTGTGTTCCTGTCACTCTCTCCCCTGTGTGTTCCTGTCACTCTCTCCCCTGTGTATTTCTGTCACTCTCTCCCCTGTGTGTTCCTGTCACTCTCCCCTGTGTGTTCCTGTCACTCTCCCCTGTGTGTTCCTGTCAGTCTCTCCCCTGTGTGTTCCTGTCACTCTCTCCCCTGTTTGTTCCTGTCGCTCTCCCCTGTGTGTTCCTCTCACTCTCCCCTGTGTGTTCCTGTCACTCTCTCCCCTGTGTGTTCCTGTCGCTCTCCCCTCTGTGTTCCTGTCACTCTCTTCCCTGTGTGTTCCTGTCGCTCTCTCCCCTGTGTGTTCCTGTCACTCTCGCCTGTGTGTTCCTGTCACTCTCCCCTGTGTGTTCCTGTCACTCTCCCCTGTGTGTTCCTGTCACTCTCTCCCCTGTGCATTTCTGTCACTCTCTCCCCTGTGTGTTCCTGTCACTCTCCCCTGTGTGTTCCTGTCAGTCTCTCCCCTGTGTGTTTCTGTCACTCTCCCCTGTGTGTTCCTGTCACTCTCTCCCCTGTGTGTTCCTGTCGCTCTCTCCCCTGTGTGTTCCTGTCCGTCTCTCCCCTGTGTGTTCCTGTCACTCTCTCCCCTGTGTGTTCCTGTCAGTCTCTCCCCTGTGTGTTCCTGTCGCTCTCTCCCCTGTGTGTTCCTGTCACTCTCCCCTGTGTGTTCCTGTCGCTCTCTCCCCTGTGTGTTCCTGTCACTCTCCCCTGTGTGTTCCTGTCAGTCTCTCCCCTGTGTGTTCCTGTCACTCTCCCCTCTGTGTTCCTGTCGCTCTCTCCCCTGTATATTCCTGTCACTCTCCCCTGTGTGTTCCTGTCACTCTCCCCTGTGTGTTCCTGTCAGTCTCTCCCCTGTGTTCCTGTCGCTCTCTCCCCTGTGTGTTCCTGTCACTCTCCCCTGTGTGTTCCTGTCAGTCTCTCCCCTGTGTTCCTGTCGCTCTCTCCCCTGTGTGTTCCTGTCAACCTCTACTGTGCTTCCTGGACTTGTTGACAAATTTAACCCTAATCCTAAGTGTGCCTCATTGAAAATCACCTCCTCTCACATTTACTGGTTTGCCTTATCCCACAAGTAGTTTTTTTTAAAAGGCAAATAGGTGTGTGCAGAATCAACTCATACCCATAAACCTATTATTCCATTGACTTTCCAAAACATTCAGAGAGCTAATATGCAAAGTTTGAATATAATATAAAGTAGGTAATTGCCTGATCAAGACTTAAATCTTAACGTGACGATTAATAATATCTTGTATTGTTAGCATTCTGTGTGTGGACTCTGTGGCAATTTGAATGGTAATCTGGGAGATGAATTCAGGACCCGAACCAATTCCATAGTATCCAGTACAACAGATTTTGGAAACAGTTGGAAGGAGGATTGCTTGTGTGCCGACGTGGAGGAACACGTACATTTGTGTGACAAAAATCCATTTCGTGTGGCTTGGGCCAGGAAAACGTGCTCTATAATTAAAAGTCCAGTGTTTAAAGAATGCCACAGCATGGTGAGTCGATCTCTCAATCAGACATTCGATGTAAACGTGAAGTGCACTGACCGTGTTGAGAGGTTAGCACTGATACACTGCAAAATCACAATCACTTGTTATACTTTAGAAGATTCACATCAGAAAAGAAAAAAAACTATTTTGCCCTTTAAGATTCTTTTATTTCTACACCACAAGGGAGCACATGGCAGTGTTCTCATGGAAACACAATGCTTCAGAAGTGCTGTTGCACTGCTGAATGTTCCTGACCTAATAATGCTGCACACCCTTTCTGGTGTTGTCACATTGTTTGGTGATTCTGGTTCTTCTCAACAAGATGAATATTGTGAGGATTGGAGACTCTTCGTCTTCACAGACCCGAGAATTAACCGTAGTAACTGTGCTGCTGAAGCTTTTATCAAGAGAGGTTCCTTTGGAAGGCACAAAGGAATTGCATGTGTTTTCCTAAATTCCTTTTGGCAAAAAAGGACAGATTATTTCAGCAAGAGATGTTAGTCAACCAAGTTAGCTGGAGTCGAGGATGGGATGGATAAGGTTGTGTGATTTGTAGTGGGAACAATGGGGTAGATCCCAAAGTGTAATTACTATGGCACTCCGGCATTTTTGAAAAAAATGCCGCTGTTGGCTTTGTGATTGTTTGAATTGGGGTCTGTTCAGCGCTTTGGGACGTTCTCCCCACATGAAAGGAGTGATACAAATCTAATTGTTGTTGTTGAATCCTGCGAGCAGAAGATAGCAAATAAGCAAACAATCTGAGATTCAAACAATCTGAGTCATAGTCAATGTCCCTGTGCTCAAGGGAGTGGGTTTTGCTGTTGGACCTGGTCTGGTTAGGTCCGAATTCCGGATATCCAGAGTCCGGTAAGACAGGATTATTGTCAATGGTATTTGGCTATTAAAGCAATGATCAGAGCAAAGGTGAGAAAAACCGCAGTACTTTTGTGATATTTGGAGGAGAAAATTTACAAAACCACACAGTCGCATTCTTTTGTTGATTTGTATTGTAGGTGAATCATAATCTGTTTTATGAAAACTGTGTGCAAGATGCCTGTGGCTGTGAATTAGTTGGTGATTGTGAGTGCCTCTGTGAGGCTGTAGCTGTCTATGCTAAAATTTGCTTGGATAAAGGGATCTGCATCGACTGGAGAAAGCCAGACTTTTGTCGTAAGTTTCTTTTGCAATACTTTAGAGTTTTCTGTAGTACAACAGCAGTTTGCATATATATATATAGCTCATTACAGGAGCATGCCTCAAAGTCCTTCAATGTAATAATGTAATAATATTTCTTTGCTAATATTTCATTGACAAAGCATCTTTGATTGCTAATTCATTGTATTGAAGTTTACTCCAAATCCTAATTGAGCATACTCATATTATTGAAGGCTATTTTATGCACTTGGTAATCTTACTATTAGGGCCACTGCTTCGAAGTCTCCTGCTCAAACCATCCAATAATTGTCCTCAGCATGCAAGAGGATGAGGATCTTTAGTTTTGTTTCTGTTGAAATGTTTTTTGCTGGCAGGGAATAGTGACCTGGGAACATTCTATATCTGCAAAGCAGCAATACAACCACCCGCTACGCTCTGCCAAGCCCTCAGGGGGGCACAGCATTCCAGCACACAAACTCAGCTCCTGCCCCACTTAATACAGGAAGAGATGAATCAACAACAAATTTATCAACAATGGTTCTTGGATAGCTGGATAATACATCACAATACAGTTTATGCTTACACAGCTCCTTTCACATTGTGGGAGAATCTCAAAGCGTTTTACACACCTGACTCGAGATGGGGAGCAGAAGAGGGTGGGAAAGATGACTGAAAGCGTGATGAAAGAGGAATAATGGAATTTTCATTGTCTTCCAGCTGTATACTGTGACTATTTCAATATTCATGAGCAAAGAAATAACCGGTACGAATATATCTATAAAATCAAGGGTGACTGGCATTATCAGCCCTGTTTATGTCCTTGGAATCTGAGAAGCATCGAAAATAATATGGAAGGTAACAGTACTGTTATTGCCACTGTTAGCTGCTCCAGTTCATGTCTTAAATGGGATAAACAGGTCCTTTTCAGATTAGAGGGATGTGACTAGTGGAGTGCCACAAGGATCAGTCCTTGGGCCTCAGCTATTTACCATTTCCATCAACGATCTTGTTGAGGACATCGAAGTTAATATATCTAAATTCGCGGATGACACAAAACTAGGAGAAAGTGTCAACACAGAGGACGACATTAAAAAAATGCAGCGAGACATAGATAGGTTAGGTGGCTGGGCAGGTAGGTGGCCGATGAAGTATAACATAGGGAAGTGCGAAGTCATCCACCTCGGGAGCAAAAACAGGAGAGCGGGTTATTTTTTAGAAGGCGAGAGATTGGAATGTGTTAGCGCCCAGAGGGACTTGGGTGCCCCTGTACACCAATCACAGAAAGTTAGTCTGCAGGTGCAGCAGCAATTAGGAAGGCGGACGATATCTTAGCATTCATTATGAAAGGATTAGAGTATAAGAGTAGGGAAGTGTTGCTGCAACTGTATAGGGCCCTGTGAGACCACACCTGGAATACTGTGTGCAGTTTTGGTCTCCTTATGAAAGGAAGGATGTACTTGCCTTGGAGGGGGTGCAGCGTAGATTTACTGGGTTAGTACCAGGGATGAAGGGGATGAGTTACGAGGATAGGCTGACCAATTTGGGCCTATGTTCTCTGGAATATAGAAGAAATAGAGATGATCTTATAGAAACCTATAAGATCATCAAAGGGCAATGATAGAGTAGATAGTGGGAGATTGTTTCCCCTGGTTGGAGAAACTAAAACCTTAAAATCAGAAGCCATCTCTTTTGCACTGAGTTGAGGAAGAACTTCTTCACTCAAAGAGTGGTGAATTTATGGAACTCGCTACCCCAAAGGGCTGTTGACGCTCAGTCCTTGAACATATTCAAGACTGAGATAGATAGATTTCTTATTGCAAAAGGGATTAAGGGATATGGGTATAAGGCAGGGGGCTGTGGGGGGGGGAGGCTGGGGGGGATATGGGGGTAAGGCGTGGTCAGGTTATTAGCTGGAGTTAGATTAGAAGATCAGCCATGATTAAATGGTGGGGCAGGCTCGAAAGGCCGAATGGCCTACTCCTGCTCCTACATGTTATGTTATGTTAATGGATAGTTGAATGAATGAATGGAAACTTTAACTACTGATAAACTGCCAATTGTGCATAGCAACATCCCACAAACAGTCGTTGATTGAGTGACCTATGCGAACATACGTCCTGGGAATCTGAGGAGCATCCAAAATCATCATTGATTTACAGATAATGTCTATATGTTTGTGTGTTTTCCATTCTATAGAAGGAACAATTAAAGATGAATAATAAGATTAAATAAATCTCTTCTGTTAAAAGGTTGTTACAATTGTAGCCAAGGCGAGTACTTGGATGCTGAAAGGAAGAGTTGCGTGCCCTGTGGTAAGTACACAAGACTTTTCAATTTCTGCTTTCATAAATTACCAGTCTTGATAATACATTTGATTTCAATTTTCAGTTTTCATATACAATGTATTCAACTAATAGCACCTTTGATCATATGAAGTGTGTTGCACTGATTACCTGATACAAAAGTACTGGATAGATACCTGCAGAGATAGATTCAGACTAAACTGAACAAATCATCCAAGCGCTATGCCCTGCTGGAGGGAGGGGCTGTACAAAGGATAAGCTCTGTGCAGCAGGTAGGTCATTCTTTATTGTGGTCTGAACATGTTTTGCACAGGTAATTTTTCTGACTCTAATTTGCATTTGCTGTATTAAAGGAGCAAAGAATTTTCCCTGTTACAAGCGCACTGGAGCTTCAGGCACATCAGTGATACATTAATTTGCAGATGTCAGCGAGGGCTCAGCTTGATGGGGGCATGTGATCTCCAGGGATCATGCTTGGAGATGTCCTGAACAGCTGATTTTTTAAAGGGATGTGATAGCTGTGCCTCTGCCTAAGCAAAATGCTCCCGACAGACACTGAAGTCAAGCATGGGATTTCCAGTTGGAAGGCTGAAGCAATCAACAGAACTACTAAATGTTCATGTGTTCTTCATCACCACGATCTGTACATTCTCATTACAGTGATGTATCTTCTTCAGCATGATAGTCAATAGATCTTGACCACAACAACACATATGTTCTGCACCACGATCTCCATAATTCGTTTGGACTGACATAACACAGAGACAAGTATCAATTGCAGCAAGAAGACACTGATCCTGGCACTTATATGAATAAAACGCAATTAAAACTTTAAACTCGTTCTTACATTCCAGTGGAATCAACAACAGTTTCCACTCCTACAACAGATACACAAAGCACAAATCCCAAACCTACATTTCCCAAGCAAGAATCTACGTTTCTTCACTTTTATCCATAATAGTCACTATCGCCTACTATCGTGCCCATTCACGTGGCCAAACTCATTGAAAGACGACAAGTAGCTGAAGGTTTCACTTTGTTTTCTGCGCGTTCCAACATTTGAATGTTTCTCTTCCAACAGAAACATCACCAGCCACGACTTCGCAAATAGGTATACAAAGAGCAAATGCTCGTCTCCTCCCATTTACAGTGCAATATCCCCCTTCACCACTTATGAGCCAATTATCCATTAGCATTTTTGCTGTCCTGCTCTCGTAACAACTAGAACCTTAACGACTGTTAGACAAATGAAGTGACAAGAAATTTTTCCTTTCCAGCAACATAAGAAACCACCACCACACAATTTTTAACAACTTTCACTCCAACAGCACGTGTGTAAACAATAACTGCCACGTATACTGAACTACTCAACTGAACTGTCTATCCCTTTGTCCAGCCAGTCGCCAGTGCCCATATTGCCCTCCTTACAATGTCGAATGGAAACACTTGAAGCTTTTTTCTCGAGTATCTTCACCAAATCTTTCCCAACAAGCAGCACAGCTGCTGAGGAGCAACACGTCTGCACTGCCACAACGCCCCTGTCGTGTATCAATGGCAGCAGTAAGCCACACGTCCTGGCATTCCCATTGGATTGGCTGCTGTGCCATTACTCGTGCACATTCACATGGCCAAACCCATTAAAAGACGACAAGTAGCTGAAGGTTTCACTTTGTTTTCTGCGCGTTTCAACATTTGAATGTTTCTCTTCCAACAGAAACATCACCAGCCACGACTTCGCAATTAGGTATACAAAGAGCAAATGCTCGTCTCCTCCCATTTACAGTGCAATATCCCCCTTCACCACCTATGATCCGATTATCCATTAGCATTTTTGCCGTCCTGCTCTAGTAACCACTATAACGTTAACGAGTGTTAGACAAATGATGTGTCCTTTCCCTTGTGCTGGACTGGACGTGCGCGGACCTCATTTTAACGTGTACCCGAGAGTCCTGTAGCTCAGTGGTTAGAGCACTCGTTTGCAAGCGAGAGACCTGAGTTCAATTCCAGGCAGGGCAAAACCTTGGGCAAGTTTCCTTACTCCACACAGAGCCTCATAATAATCCCTCCAAAACCAAAAACAAGAATAAAAAAAAATTGGTCATTTTCAATCTACGACTATTTGTGGGACGTTGCTGTGCGCAATTGGCTTCCGCGTTCGCCCACAAATATGCAGTCAATTCACTTTACAGTGTCTTCTGTGAAGCGCTTTGGGACGTCCTCCTGATGTGAAAAGCGCTACATCAAATGCAAGGATTATTATTATTATACTGGGCTGCTTTTTAGCAGTGATGCAGGGAAATAGCTGTCATTAATGCTGCAGCAGTCACCAGCTTCTTTCCGTTGTCTGGTTACTGCCGTGCGGCCACCACAACCAAATCTTGTTGAGCGTGTAACCGGAGGAATCCTACCGCTTGATGCTGACAGAAGACTCTCAGCGCTAAGGTGTAACTTGCTTCATTCGTTTCAATTTTTCCTCTCAATGACATATCCTTCTGTTTACTGCAGCGACTGTCAAAATCCAAAACCAAGTAAGTGTCGTGCTCACATAGCTGGTGCTACGGGGACATAAGTGGATATTAAAAAGTTCGATGGTATTGATCTTGAAGGGTTTTTCTTTCGACATTGGTGGACTGATCTCGGGGATCTAAACTTGGGAAGTGTGCACAAGATCACATTTGCTAATCAATGCCTCTTTTCTA